AGTTTCCCCACACTCAGGTTGTTACTTGTGGGCCTAAATATGGAATGGCTGAGATTATTCTTGTGATAACTGTAGCTCCTCAGAAAGACATTTGTCCTCAAGGTAGAACGTATCCTATGAAAGCAGTTATCATAGTAAGAAGTAGGATAATCACACCTGACCCCCATACTATTGGTATTTTGATTGGAGAGTTAAAATAAATTCCTCGGGCTAGATGGNGAATCGATTCAAGGTGGGCTGGGATACTGAGAAGTTTCCCCACACTCAGGTTGTTACTTGTGGGCCTAAATATGGAATGGCTGAGATTATTCTTGTGATAACTGTAGCTCCTCAGAAAGACATTTGTCCTCAAGGTAGAACGTATCCTATGAAAGCAGTTATCATAGTAAGAAGTAGGATAATCACACCTGACCCCCATACTATTGGTATTTTGATTGGAGAGTTAAAATAAATTCCTCGGGCTAGATGGATGTATATAAAAATAAAAAATAATGAAGCCCCATTTCTATGAATGTACCGTATAACTCAACCGTGGTCAATATCCCGCATAATATGTATAACTGATTGAAATGCTAATGATGTTTCTCTTACAAAATTTATTGATAATACTAGTCCTGTAATAATTTGAAGTATTAGTGTTATTCCTAGGAGAAAACCTATGTTTCATAAGTATGAAATTGAAGTTGGGGTTGGTAGGTTNGGTAGAACGTATCCTATGAAAGCAGTTATCATAGTAAGAAGTAGGATAATCACACCTGACCCCCATACTATTGGTATTTTGATTGGAGAGTTAAAATAAATTCCTCGGGCTAGATGGATGTATATAAAAATAAAAAATAATGAAGCCCCATTTCTATGAATGTACCGTATAACTCAACCGTGGTCAATATCCCGCATAATATGTATAACTGATTGAAATGCTAATGATGTTTCTCTTACAAAATTTATTGATAATACTAGTCCTGTAATAATTTGAAGTATAAGTGTTATCCCTAAGAGAAAACCTATGTTTCATAAATATGAAATTGAAGTTGGGGTTGGTAGGTTTGCTAAAGAATTTATTAATATTTCTACAACAGGATCTTTTTTTAAAATATTTATTTTTTTCATTTATTGTAAAATATCCTTAAAATTCTAAATTTTATGCAAAAATCTGCTTTTACAATAATTTTTGTGGACAAGAAAATGACTTTTTTGCACGAAGTTTTAGAATCTTGACCATTNATGAAATTGAAGTTGGGGTTGGTAGGTTTGCTAAAGAATTTATTAATATTTCTACAACAGGATCTTTTTTTAAAATATTTATTTTTTTCATTTATTGTAAAATATCCTTAAAATTCTAAATTTTATGCAAAAATCTGCTTTTACAATAATTTTTGTGGACAAGAAAATGACTTTTTTGCACGAAGTTTTAGAATCTTGACCATTGTTGTTATTCATTTTAATTTAGCATAACATAATGCGAAGAGTTTAAGCCTCTTAGA